GCGCGCGTATAGGTATCTGTTATGGGCGTGCGTTCTCGCGGGCGTATAGGTATCTGTTATGTGCGTGCGTGCTCGCGCGCGTATATAGCTATCTGTTATGTGCGTGCGTGCTCGTGGCGTATCGCTATCTATTATGCGCGTGCGTTCTCGCGGGCGTATAGGTACCTGTTATGTGCGTGCGTGCTCGCGCGCGTATAGGTACCTGTTATGTGCGTGCGTGCTCGCGCGCGTATATAGCTTCTGTTATGTGCGTGCGTGCTCGTGCGCGTATATAGCTATCTGTATGTGCGTGCGTGCGTCTCCGCGGGCGTATAGCTATCTGTTATGTGCGTGCGTGTCGTCTCGCGCGCGTGGAGTTTTGAACAGCTTGTGTACACGTCGCGTTTACTTGAAGAACGGCACGTTGAAAATGCGTGTTTAGAACTCCACGATAAAATGCGTGTTTCCATCGTTTCCAACGCGTGTTGGATACGGCACGTGTCGACTTGGCCGGTTGGGTATTAACCTGCGCAAGTCTGCAAATTTTTACGTCTCTATATCTTCCGTGAACGGAAATATTGCTAAGTTTGTAATTTTTATGGCGGCTATTTTGAATCCAAGATGGTGGCCGAAAACGCTTGTTGTATGAAATAGTAACCCAAATTACGTCTGCCAGTCAATTTTCAAGTCCGTACGAAGATTATTAACCGAGATATAGCTATTTTTTTTAGAAATAACGGCGGCCATTTTTGAATTCAAGATGGCGGCCGAAAACGGCCCTTGATCACCATGCATCACGTTGTTTATGAATAGTACCCAAATTACGTCTGTTAGTCAATTTTCAAGTCTGTACGAAGATTATTAACCGAGATAGGCCTATAGCTATTTTTTAAGAAATGACGGCGGCCATTTTTGAATTCAAGATGGCGGCCGAAGTTGTAGTTGGTTCGCATGTGTCCTGTCTTTAAATGAAAGAGCATACAAAAGTATGCAAGTGTACCAATTTTCATACTTTTTTCACAATTTTGAACGATTTTTTTCTAATCTACTGTACTAATAGCAAAATCACCCCAAAGGAGTGAACACTCATAATCCATCCACAACCCCCTCACCATGCAATCAGTGGTTCACACAGTGGTGACGTCCTTCCCTCTGTGTTGATATTACAATTAACACAGGTATAAGACGGTCAGTGGTGCATATGGGGTCGTTGTCGTATCCGGTACTACAGATATGTACCCGAGGTAGTTTTAGGTTGTTTAGTATTATGTTTATATTTTTATATGAGGTATGTTTAGGGTTAGGGTTAGGGTTAGGGTTAGGGTTAGGGTTAGGGTTAGGGTTAGGGCTAGGGTTAGGGTTAGGATTAGGGTACACTTCTGTAGTACAAGTCTGGTACACTTTGTGTATACATATATGTACCTCGGGTACATATCTGTAGTACATGATACGACAACGACCCCTTCAGCGTCAGTGGTCACCACTCACACTCTCACCTCCCCTCAGAGGTGTGGATCCATGTTTGTTAAACAGTAGCTTGTTATAATAGTGTAAATAAATAGCCTAGATCTGCCAGTTTGTAGATGTGAGTTTTCAGTTCACTTCTGTGTATGCAAATTGAGAATTATGGCTGCAAAAAGGAAAGCGCTGACATTGCGCGAAAAATTGAAACTTCTGAAAGGTTCCTAGTTCAAAAGTCAAGGAAACTTGGCTAAGTTGCTTTTGAATATCTATAGCCTATAGGAACTGTAAACAAAATACTGAAAAGAAAGCAAGAATATGA